ACTGTAATTTGTTGTGAGTTCATGCACTGTGTTGGTTTTGTTCTTTGAGCAATGTGATGTTCATGCACGGCTCATTTTATACACCAATAAAAAAAACATATACCTATGTCTTGAATTTGGAAAAAAAAATCATATTTTATTTATCAATAAAAAGGGTTCAGTGAATGCGCATACGAAACTGGTGGGTTCGGTACCTCAAAAAAGGTTAAGAACCATTGCTTTAAACCAGGGGCGCCCAAACATTTTCCCCAAGAGGGCCAAAATGAGAATCTATCTGGGGCTGCGGGCCAAATGCAATAATATAATACATGAAATACAAATACGTTTTTAGTAAAGTCCTTTATTTTGTAACTATTAAGCTAGCAGCCAGTGTGGTGGCCTGCTTTTGTTTTAGTCTGGGTACTTGGAGAAAATCTGCCATATCCTCAAGTAGCAAAGGTTCATGGGAAATTTTATAAATTGATAAAATATGAGTTTTGCTGGCCTTATAAAGTGTGCAAATCTACATGTGGGGTTAAATCTAATCTAAATGTCACTTTTTGCTTGTATTTCACATTTTATATTTAATCTTAATGTATCAAAGATAAAGTCAGAACCAGGAGTGAAAACTATCTGTACCACAGCCCCTTTTAGTTATTGAGCCAATGGATGAAATGACAAAGTGGAAATACTTTTTCTACAAAGGACGACAGGTTACAACCTAGTAACAATGTCAACTGCTGGTGGGCCAAATCAAATGGCTTGGCGGGCCAAATTTGGCCCGCGGGCCCCACTTTGGGCTCCTCTGCTTTAAACTCTTGTTCTTTTACAACTTTAGTCATTTTCCAGTATTGCTACATATTAAAACAACAACTCTATATTTTATTTTGGATTTAGCTAAGCAAAGCAAAGATCAGAAAAATCAGAACAACGTGGTTGTTTTCTTTTTGCAATTTTACTTTGATGCAAGAAAACAAAGAACAAGCTATTCACAGATTGAGAGGCCAGTGAACTTTATAACCAGCTACTGGTGGCAGAGACTGACAGATGGGTCGTGGTGGGGGTGGGTCACATCAGAGTTCAGTTCTCCCCTTCTTGTTTAAGATGGTGGACAGACAGGGAGTTATAGGTGACACACAAAAATCCGAGGTGAATTATTGTTTTTGTGTTTCTTGTTTACACAGACTTTTCTACCCCAGCTGGTCAGTAGGGGCCGCTCTTAAAATGATTCATAAATATTTATGGAATTTATCCAATTACAAGTGATGAATAATAGATAATTGCACTTTAGTGTTTTTGACTTTAAATCAGTTACTGTGTTCTAAAGTTATACTTACAAACCATCAGTCAAACTAACTCCTTCATTCCAACAGGTTAAATGAGTGAAGAGTGAATTAAAACCCACCTTTTCCACAATGTGGAGTAGCATCATATCTTTAGTAACACAGTATGTCACAGGCTCACATGCATATGGAGAGAAAATAGACTCATAAAGTTTGTGTGTGCGTAATACATTTTGTGTGTGTGTGTAAAACATGATTTGTAACCCATTAAAAATATTTTGTGCGTAACTTTGGGTATTTGTAAGTGTGTATTCAAATGTACACACAAATGTTTTACCTTCAACCTCACAAATATGATAATTACATACACAAACTGGTTCCTACGCATACAAGTCATTAAATAAGCACGGACAAAACTACATTTACGCACGGATCAGGTTACGGGTGCACAAATCATTTTGAGACTGTTTTCACCCTGCTGAGAGGTAAAGAATTTGTGTGTGAAATTTTAATGTTTGTGTAATTTATATTTGTGTATGTGTACTTTTATTTTGTATTCGTAACTTATTAATATTTGTATGTACATTTGAATACACACTTACAAATACCCAAAGTTACGCACAAAATGTTTTTATGGGTTACAAATCATGTTTTACGCACACACAAAATGTATTACGCACACACAAACTTAATTACGCATGCACAGATTTTATTAAGCATACACAAACTTTATGAGTCTATTTTCTCTCCATGCACGCAGAAATACGTCATCACATTTCATTTGTTTTCCTCTAACAAACTTTACTACAAACATCCAATTGTTTAAAATACCTTGGATCTTATAATAAAAACCCAACTCATCCCGTGTTTGTGTCAAACATCTTTTCAGACTACATTTCAAGACTTTCCACGCACTCTGAGCTGAAGGAGAAGCTCTGAGTGTGTGAGTGAGTGTTTTTGTTTTGTATTAATGTGATTGTGGTTTTCTTTCCGTCCTCACAGAGGTCACTCTGTTCAGCCCGTTCCAGATCACAGAAAAAGTCCTGCTGAGGATCCTCCGACACCCAGACGTCATCCAGGAGCTGAAGTTCAACGAAAACGACAAAAGATCGCTGCAACACTTCCTCTACCAGAAGGGCAAACCTGTCGACTACTTCGTACTCATTCTGCAGGTGAACACCAAGACAAAGTGTTGTTTCTGTTTCCTCTGAGAGCCTACAGCTGTTCAACAAGAATTATATACATATCTAAGAGAAATCCAGGCTGGCTTGTTTCTAATGTAACATGTAATGGTGGAAACACGGCTGTACAGGTGTGTTTATGTCTAATCTGTATGGTGTTGGTTGTTGATGTTCAGACTGGTCACAGAGTAGTTACCTCAGGTATTTGTACACAATCATCAGTATTTACAATTCATTCTTAGATCACAATAACTCAATAAAAAATTCTAGTACTAAAGTGCGTACTTAATGCTAAACGTTAATAATGCTTTGTGAAGTTAAATTTCGACAAGTAAGACTGAAAAAGAAAGAGAAATACAGGTTTAATAAAACCCTAACCTAGTGTTTTGGAGGTGTGTGTGTGTGTGGTGGGTGGGGTGCAATCCAGTCCTTTTATAACTAAATTATGAGCTGTAATGTGTTACTGGGACAGAGGGAGGTCTGGGTTTTCAAAGGAAAAGAAAGCTTTAGCGCTTCAGTTCAACATGACCACAGAAATCTGGACGGAGTTTAAAGTGTGTGTTTGTGTTGGAAGAGGTTTGTTGGTAACACCTCAGGTGTGGATAAAGTGACTGCAACCTGAGCAGACCTGCTCCTGTTCCACTCATCTGTTAGATTTATGTGTGTGGGTGAACGTGTCTCTAATCTCTGTGAGGATGCTTGTAAGGTTAAGGTCAAAAAAGGTCTTTCCAGGGTCACTCTTTAGAGGACCTTTGTGGGATTCAGATTTGTTATCCGGGCTCAGTTTGAAACTGAAATCAAGGCTTAGATGTGCAGCTGTGATCTTTAAATGTTGAAGAACACATCATGTTATTTCAAGTCGTCACAAAGTTGACAGCACAGACACGTATGTGTTTGAGCTAAAGGGACACTGAACCCTGAACAGGATGTAATATTTATAGGGCGGTCAGGTGTTTGAGTTACCTGCCATAGGACACGACTCTGGGATTGAGAGCCTCCAGTTTAAGGTTGACACACAGGTACCCGGGTGAGTAACAGTAGGAGGAACCCCTGGAGTGGATCTGGAGCTGAAGACATACTGTATGTTTAATGTCATGGACTGTTCCTTGCAAAGACAGAACCTGGAGATGAAAAAATGTAAAGGACATATGCTGAATCTATGTTGTGACAATCAAACCTGGTGTTCACAGGCATAAGAGGACCATCGGCCTGGCCGATGGTCCCCTTATGCCTGTGAACACCAGGTTTGATTGTCTTAGTTAAACTTGTTTGTCCACGACGTGGAGGCACTTCTTATAAGGCTGAGTTTACTTGTAACTCCTCAGACTGAAGAAGTCTCTTGGAGGAGAGACGAAACATTCTTTCAACAAAGAAGAACCAGTTGTTCTCGATTGAAAGGTGGATTGGTGCTTCATCTGTAGTGGTGCGGGCGCTGTACTGATCTTTGGTGAAGTGAGAGCTGAGCCAAAAGACAAAGCTCTCAATTTACCAGTCTGTCTATGTTCGTATACCCTCATCTATGGTCACGAGCTTTGGGTAGTGATGGAAAAAACAAGATTGGGGATACAATGTCCTGATGCATCTCAGTAATCCAGGTAAAAAAAAATCAAAAAGAAAAAATAAGTAGATCCTCTGGATGGGTTCTTCTTTAGTGAAACATTTCGTCTCTCCTCCAAGAGACTTCTTCAGTCTGATGAGTTTCAGGTGAACTCAGCCTTATAAGCACTGCCTCTACATGGACAAACAGGTTAGTCAACTGCTAAAGAGGGCCATTGCCTAACAATAGGCTTGATTAGCTCTATTGATTAGCCCTCTTTTGCATGTGACTAAATAGAGCTAATCAAGCCTATTATTAGGCGATGGCCCTCTTTTGCATGTGACTAAATAGAGCTAATCAAGCCTATTGTTGGGCGATGGCCCTCTTTTGCATGTGACTAACCTGTTTGTCCATGTGGAGGCAGTGCTTATAAGGCTGAGTCCACCTGAAACTCATCAGACTGAAGAAGTCTCTTGGAGGAGAAACGAAACGTTTCACTAAAGAAGAACCCATCCAGAGGATCTACTTATTTTTTCTTTTTGATTGGGGATACAAGCGTTACACACCAACAGTGTCAATTCATGAAGCTGGTTCCTGAACACACTTTTGAAGAAATGTTCTGTGTGCATTTTCAGGGACGAGTGGAGGTGGAAGCTGGAAATGAGAGCATGAAGTTTGAAACTGGTCCGTTCTCCTACTATGGAGTCATGGCTCTGAGCACATCGTCACTGGGTGAGACACACTCACACACGTCTGGGCTTCTCTGAGTGGATATTGATAAAAACCGCTGACACTGACACCTGTTAGGTTTAAAGTTCACCTGCAGGAACACAGCATCACTTCTGTGTAGTTGTTTCCCCTTAAACTAGAACAATTTTACAGATATTTGAATTAAAATTGTCTCATTTGACTAAATAATGTGAACAGAAGAACACCTGATGGTGACAAAGACAGATTTGTATATATAAAATGATAACTGTGGGTAAGGTTATAAATATGTTTTGTTGGAGATGTCATAGAAAGTGGGACTGCAGAGGAACACTGGGTTCAAAGTGTTGATCAATTCTATAGGCTGTGGCCACAAACTGGCTTTTGAACCATTTGTTTCACACTATTATCCCATTTTTCACACAGCGTGGTGTGAAAAGATAGTGATGGAGGGACTTCCTGATCGTGTTACGGCCCATCCGGTTGCTCATGTCCTGTGGAGGTGAAATGACCACTCTTGTCATGTTTTGTTCTGCCTGAAACATTTTCTGCAGGTGTTTATCTTCTGTCTCACAATATCAAGATGCTGCTGGGGAAATTGTCTCGATGATGCGTTGACTAGAGTAATGGAACACTTCAGCCTCCTACCTCTGTTGCCCACTTTACACAACGTTGTTTTTAAATGAAATCAGAACAATTATTTTTTGTCTACATGACAAAAGCACCAGAACGTTTTAGATCCAGGTCTCAGAGTAGAAGTTGTTCATAGGAAAACACAGTTTATCTGGAAATGGAAGTGTAGACAGTTGTCACCAGTTTTGTGAATCATTTTAGATTTCTATTATTTAAAGTAACGTGTCACCTTCTAAGACCTCGTCTTGTGGCTCCAGTCAGAACAAGTTCGTATTGTGGTCAGAACTATGTGTTTGTTTATGTAAAGTGCAGTGAGTTGGTCTGTGAACAGTGCCTGCCAGTAAAAGAACTCATTAAGGGAGACTGAAACTCAAACGACTTCAGCAATATCCAAATCTTAGATCTTGTTGAAATATCACCAGACCTTAAATGATACATTTCAGTTTCAGACTCAAGAGTTCAGAGGACCAAACTCTACAGCAGGGGTGTCAAACTCCTGTCCTCGAGGGCCGCTATCCTGCATGTTTTAGAGGTTTTCTTGCTCCAACACACCTGATTTTGATCGCTGGGTGATTAACAGGCTTCTGCCCAATTTGAAGAGTTAATTCAATCACTGAATCAGGTGTGTTGGAGCTGGAAAACCTCTAAAACATGCAGGATAGCGGCCCTCGAGGACTGGAGTTTGACACCCCTGCTCTACAGGCTTCAGTTTGCAGGTTAAAAGTTAAAGTTCATGACAGGACAACTGGTAAAGACTGAACAGATATAGCTTGTTTGGAAAGTTTGTCAGAAAGAAAACTCCTCTCTAAAAAGAAATATCAGCAAGACTGATTTCACAAGGGTTCTTAATCCCCTTTTCCACTAGTGCCACTGAAACCGGATTTATGCTACATGCGTCTCTTCTCCGCTGCGCTGCGGTACGCAGGTTGCAGCTGTTCGTTTGTGCCTCAAATCAATTTATACAGCATCCGCTCCGCTCTGGTCCGACAGAGTGTGCAGGAAGATTGCGCGATAAAACCAGTGATGTGGAAGTCAGAGCAAAAAATAATTAATTCTGTGAAAGACAAACTCCAAACACAGTTAAAAACAATGATATAAAGGCTTTTGGTATCTATGTTGAAACTGTCTCGCTGTTGTCTTAATGAAACTTCTAATTTCAAAATAAAATCCACGTGCATCGTGTGTGTACACATCTGCTTCATGCTACGTTTCAATCTGCTTCCCAAACAGAACGATACATTCTGACAGCATTTGTGTAGAAATAAATCCGTATATTTATTAATATAGCTTCAACTTCGACATTATTCCAACAAACTATCCAGCCTAAAAGTGTCTTATTTTGAAAATACGGATGTTGTGCTCATTTCTTTTCCTGTTAGTGCGATGTAATCTTTAAAAATTGACTCTGGCGTCCAGCAAAAATAGGATCTGTTCTAATTTTGACTGATTGCCGTCCGCTCACCGCTGCCGTGCGCAGCCAGTGTAAACACTCTCATTGATTATAACGGGTGCGTATTTGCTGCGGAGGTCGGACCGGAGTGGAGCGGAGCTGGAACGCATGTAGTGTAAATTAGGATTAGTGTAGTGTCGGTACAGTCAGTGTCGGAACGGGTCAGTTTGGGTGCTTTTCCATTGACTTTCCAGTCAGGTTCCAGTGGGTGTGTTTTGGGCGGTTGGTGGAGGTGGTTTTGGGTTTTTCAAAAAAGAGTTAATGCACAAAATGAGAGATGAAAACACTTTTGCCGAATAAGTTCTGACTTAGTGAAAATTTACCTCACATGGCTGATCAGCTGTTCCCTCTGTCTGTCTGAACCGGTACCAGAGCGACTGCAGCCATGTCTGCAGCTGGACCCTCCTCCTGCTGTCGGCGTCTTCTCAGTTATACCCATAACATGAAGAGAATCACATTTCTTTTTGTACATCTCCAGACAGCATGTAACATCGCCAAAACTATTTGAATATGACAGAATAAGTACAACTTTCCCGATAATAGCAACAAGTTCCTGATAAACTCTCTCCATTGACCTGGGATGCATCCCTGCGAGTTTTGCGACTTGTTCTTCCTGTTTACCATGGCCATGGGTCTGACACAATGATACTATGCGTAGTCTGATTGATTCGCATCAAGGCAGTTGATGGAAACATGTCTGATTCGCATTTCTTCTTTTTTTTTTTTTTTTTTTAAATTTGCTAAAAATTTAAATTAAAATTGGATGGAAACACGACTAATGTCGCTGCTACAATTGAAAAAAATGGCGCCTCGAGTTGTTGTTGTTGTAAAAGCTGCTCAGACACAACCAGTGACTCCACCCCCTAAGCCAATCAGTGACGAACAGTGTTCTGGTGTCAACTGGGACCGCTTGGAACCACAACAAAGTAGGTACTTAAAAAAGGGCTGGTTCCATGAATCTGGCCTAATTGAAATGGCTTGGAACTGTACCAACACCACTAAGTGGCACTAGTGGAAAAGGGGCATAAAAGAACCACAAGACATCAGGAACAGAGTTCTTTGGTCAGATCTTTTGGATATTATGTTCTTGTCAAATGGGCCAGTTTGGAAAGTCTGGACATGATCATGAGACTGAGTACTCATTGGGTGGCAGTATACTCTGTATAATACTGTCAGACGTGACAGACTGGGGTCTGCTGGTTGCACATGAAATCTATTATCTGTTCCCAGATTCTGGTTAGCAGCTGGTGCTAGTTTGGTGTTGAATGTTGTGTTGATGTTTGTGTTGTTGTATCCACATTGTGGAGGAGGACAGTGTGTTAAAGTGTTCAGGGATGATCTGAGCTGTCCAAGAGTTCTTTAGGTTTTCCTGTGTGCTGCAACAAGCTGTCTCCAACAAGTCAGAGACTCAGACTTTCAGTAGTTTAACATTCAGTGTGTTGACAAGAAAAACAAGAGACACTGGAGACAGTTTATTATTTACTACAGGAGTAAATACCTGGCCAAACATTCAGTATACTGTAAAACATAAACAGGACAGAGTGTAGTGTTAGTGAGCTGATGGTGACGCCAATAAGCTTAGTCCAAATACAGAAACACTTAGTTTGTGTCCTTGTCCTGGTCCAAGACACACCTGTGGGACTCAGCAGGCTGGTTTTAGTCTTTGGAGAACCTTCATGTGGACTCAGGTCCTGTTACAGCTGCAGGAAGCATCCAGATGTGTTAATCTGGTTATCAGAAGGATCATCTACGGTCCTAAATGTAGACAGATACTTTGATCATTTTAAGTCTAATTTCACTGATTTGAATGAAAGGTTAACATAACACTGGTGTCCGAAGTGGAACTTCCTGCTGGTGGTTTACAGATTAGCTGGTTGGTGACCTCTGAAGGCTGCTGAGAGGATTTGTGTTGGATGGTTCAGAGTTCACTTCAGAACTGGATCATCTACCAAATCTGAGTTCTCCTGAAGACACAGGCTGAAAAAAGGACCAGAATCAGTGATTTAGTGATAAAGAAACAGTTTTCCTGTGAAATATTTTTGTAAAACTTGCTAATCTAAGCAGACAAGTTTTTAATCTAAATCATTTTCTAAATAAACATACAGTATAATCTGTGCTTTTCTCTCGTCTCTGAGGTTCTTCAGGTCGAAGTCAATATTTTTACACCTTTTTGCTCTGTGACAAATTTAATTCTGTGAGTTTGCTTCATTCTGCTACAAAGACTATAAATCTATCTTTTGTCACTTAAAGAAAAGATTGGCATGCAAACAACAAAAATACTATTATTTATTTATTCTGTAACTAATTTCCTTTTAAACTTGAATAAATATTTCATTTTTTTGAGGAAAATGC